AACCTGGTACAATAGCAACAAATATATAAATTCATAGTTTTAATAATTCTGAATAAGTTCCAATCGCAGTCAGGAAATACAAGGACATTGACACATTTGTATTATATTGATGCAGTTCTCCGTTAAGTTTACTTTAAAATAAAACATTGACTAAGAGGTCGAAGTACTGACTGAGCTTGTTGAGGCAATGGAGAAAAAGTCAGATTTAAAAGTGAAGAAAAGTTCATGCCAAATCTAGACACAAAGTAAAAATACAAGTGTCACTGTAATATTATTATTTCATATGTAATAATAAACGTGTATTTGTTTTACAAGCCCTCAAAACACACAGAGCAGAATTGCCTATAACTACATGTATGTATATAAGAAAAAGGTCTCTACACTCACACATTACTAAGACTTAGGTTCCCAGTTAAACCTGTAGGACAAAGATATTCAGTGTGCAAAGGCAAACCACTTCTGCCCTGGTTTGAGTTCTCTTGAGAAATCATTTGCAGGCGTGTGTGACTAACAGGACTGGTTGTAGGAGGATTAGGTGTGTGTATAAGACTGGGTGGAACAAACCTAACCTGGATCACACTGGTTGTGACTGACACCACTGTCAGTAAATACACCCGCCTTTTGTGAGCATAATCAGCCAATCACAGCAGGAGGAGTTCCCTTATTGTGAGCAAAATCAAATATTTGGTTGTCTTGTATGTGTGGCAGACGGAGTGTATTATTTTGTCTGGAATCATGTTCATAACTTGGGTTTATGGACTGTAATTATTTAATTTTTTTCATGAATTGCACCGTAATATATGTACTATCCATTTAATTAAATACTGGTTAATATAGTTAATCATTATGTTTGTGGCATAAGCTTTCAAATAAACACTACATTTATTTAATAACAACGTTATTATTATAATTTGGTAAAACGTCTACATTGGTGTCATGTGTCCAAGCTGCATGATGAAATAATAGGCGCTTTCACACCCTGTACTTTTCCAGTTTAGTTCCGATAGTTCCTGGGATTTTGCATTCACACTAAAAAGATAACTTAGTTCATGAGAACTTTTACCCCCTTTTTAGTGCCTGCTAGAGAGGCGGTACTTGCCTGGGGAGAAAACAGTTCCAATTTCTGATTGGCTGGGCGAATTGCAAACCACGCTCCGTGAAACTCTGAAAGGTTTTTTGAAGCCGCCATTGTATTTGCTGGCATTAGCATTATTAGCCTTAGCCCCCGCGCACCAACGGAGAGAGTGTCAGCGTTCTGGCAATTTACTCGGAACTCAACTCCGGGGACTTCCGGCCGGGGACTTCGGGTGGCAGTATACGCCGTGAAGTTGTTTGTGGCCTGCCAGTAAAGCAGAAGAAGAAGTGACGTCAGCGGCTTCATTTCATGGATGTATAATAAGAACTGGATACATCGTGGGAGGCGGGGCCTCGTTCATTCCTATGAGAGTTGCTCATTGGCGCATGAAGACAAAATGGCCTAACTTTTGAGAGAGCGAAACGTCACGAAAGTATTCATATATAATCATATAATCCGTTCTTATTGTGCATCCATGGGTAAAGGTAAAACGCATGTAGTACTGAACACGTCACATGAACGTGCCGGGCGGCACGGACCCGTGGGTTGAATGCGCGTTCATAATGCAGAGGAAAATAACTCTCAGAATAACGTTATTAGCACATTTTACAACTTGAGGAACAAATGTTTGTAATAAGGGCTATACAAATGTTCATACTGGGTAGTTTATTTAGTTTAAAAAAAATTATCCAACGATTTACAGACGTCTCTTTCCCAATGTTAGTCAATGGGAAAAAGTCTTTCCGGGCCCAGCGACTGATACGAAAGTGTAGTACCGCCGTTTGGCCACAACAAATATTTTCCTCAGAGTCCGGCGCACTTCCTGGGGGCTTGCTTAATTTGCGTAATCTTCCCTCAGGGAACTTATTCCGGTGTGTGATCGGCTCTTATGCCCCTTTCACACCAACGCAATTCCCGTTCTAGCTCCGTGCTAGAGCTTTTCTGGTTCGAAACCGGTTCTTCTTTTCAGCCCCCGTTTTGTTCACACCGCTTAGAGCCCGACTGGTGCTGCCGCTGCTGCGTCATGACGTCACCGTTTACGTCGCTGATTTTCTCCCCAATGGCGCTCACTACAACAACAATGGGGGACTGCGCCGGGTCGATGATCGTGTTGCTTTTAATCATATGAAGCCAGATTAAATTAAATAACAACTTCTCCAACCTTATAATTTTCTCCAGAGTGCCGTGGTTCATTGTTTATTAATGTGTTTCAGCTGCATTTACTGACCGCTGCAGTGCTGCTCGTCCACCGGAGTTTACTCTACCGCTAGATCCGGGCAGGGCCGGCCCAAGACTTTTGGGGGCCCTAGGCGAGCTTTGGCTTGGGGGCCCCCCTCACTCTAGCGCGTTCTCACTACACACAACACGGAACCAACTTTTGTCTTATGATGTTAGCATAAGCACACATATTGTATAAATAAGCATATAAACACCGTGGACCTAATCTCCTCTAAGGGGGTCCTCACCTCCTCTAGGGGGGTCTGAGGTCATGCTCCCCCGGGAAGATTTTTTTTTAAATATTGAAGTTAAAAGCATCAATCTGGTGCACTTTGAGAGCAAAATTAAGAGATCTATGGATACATATCTCAACACCCATATGAAACAGAACTGTAAGCAGATTTTTCTTTATGGAAATTTTACAAATCACTTGTTCACATAGAAACTAGCTGTCAATAGGAATATCATTCAGAAGAATTGTAATTTCTTGCAAAAATCTGTCACAAAAAGAGGTTGCACATTTAAATTCAGGTGTTGTTATGGCAACGTCAGTGGTCAAACAGCCACATTTACTGCTGGAAATACGTTCAAACATGCTGTTGACACGTGAAGCAGTGGCAACTATGCCACCATTTCAGCTGACTTTTTCTCAGAAATACTGTCACATAACATCCATATATTTCAGTGCTAGGTTGATGCTTAGCTAAGCTAACTATGAAACACTTTAACTGACAGGACTCAGGATCAACTGTGTACTGTAAGGTAGCTTCTAGCTTCATGTCGAACAGTAAGTCAACATTTCCCAGAGAGCTTTCTTTGAAATCACCAGGTAACGCTAAAAAACATTACATTTAGATGGTATGACAAACTGTTTATTTAATATATCTGGCTAGCTATAGCTACTTGCTAACGGTTTAGCTTACCCCCGCGATTCAAAGTAACGTCAACGTAGCTGAAATGTATGCTTTGCTTACATGTTCGCATAACTTGGAAGTTTACTGACATTTACATACCTTGTTTACCTGGCTCCAGTGGTGGCTCTGGGGTTGTTGTGTGAGCCACCACTTGAGAATTTTCATATTTTTTAAGAAAAAATGTTCTTATGTCCATCTTCAAAAACTCTGAGTCCGACTGACAGTATATTTTAAACATTGTCACAGCTCACAGGATAGGTACCTGTCAGCCAATAAGACAGATGTTTATTTCCATTCAACTCTCAGGTTGGTCTGGTGTCTTGCCTCTGTTGCATTCACTGAACACGGGAAATTACAATCCTGCCGTCCTCTCTAGTGTCATGATGAGGTTCGGGTAAAGCACGGTTAATGTATTATCTTATTGACTCAATAATATAATACATGACTCTGAGAGTAGGCAATCTAGGCATATTAACAAAATTAATTAAACCGACTTATCACGGCGTGTACTGAGATCTTTTTCTTTTTTTTTGCTAGGGGGCCCCTAAGTGGCTGCGGGGCCCTAAGCGCTTAATGGGTCGGGCCGGCTCTGGCTCCGGGTTAGTTTACGCGGCAGCGGCCGCTGTAAAGTATTCACTGTCTGACTGTCACACAAGCAGCTGATACATATCTCCAATTCCCCATAAGTGAATGTGTGTCGGTCTGAATTGACGCTGTTTGGCATCACAGCGCTGATATGAACGTTTCTCTGGTATAAAATGGGTGATAGCATAGCAACCGAAGCTAAACCGACAATCTTGACTACTTGTTGTTGATATCCTATTGTGGCATAAGCCGTTTTCTACAGGCACATTTTACCGGCGTATTTTTCATTATGATTCTACTTGTGATAGTCGGACATGACAACCTGTGCAGCTCATGTATTGATTCCATCCGATAGCTACTATAATACAAAACGTCTGCCTGCTCTCCACAATGATCAATAACAGCGAACGGATGGTCAAAGTAAGGTACAAATAAACAGAATCACACGAAGCCTTGTTAGTGTTGCCTGACTTTATAAAATCTGTTTTTTTATAAGTGTGTGGTTGCGTTCTAGTCACTTTGCTCAGAGCTACTGCTTGTTACAACTTTTACTTGCCGTACTCGCCTTTAACTGTTAGCTCAGGTTAATCTCGCCCCTGCCCCCCCCCCCCCCCCCCCCCCCTCCGACGTAAGCGTGACGTATGCGGTTCTTGCTTCTAGACCAGGGGTGCTCAACCTTTTGTTAACCGAGAGCTACTTTTAAAGTTGTCAGTCTGCCGAGATCTACCAGTCCAAATAGAGAGGCGTAGCCATTACTGACAGCCTACTACCAAGTAAATACACACTTCTTCACTTCTTTCTCTTTGATATTATACCTTATATATTTATATGTAGGCTTTACTGATGTGCCACAATAATATCACCTAATATTATTTAGTTAAAATATCAATATTGTGGCTTTCTGAGTTAACATTGATTGATATGACTGCGATTAAATCAGCATACTTCTGCCAGGGGATGCCACCCCTAAAAATCTCCTGCCACCCTCTTGCCACCCCATGAATATGTTTCTATATCCGCCCCTGCTTCAAATATAATCTTAACCTTCAAATCCATTATCTATAGTTTCTCATTTTTGTCATTGAAAGTTACTTTTAATGCAGCACCATCTTTAAAGGATCATAGGAGGCTATTTCGGGACGTCTGCTAACGTAAACACGGAAATTGGAAGCGTCTCCTCTTCCTTCGCCCTATCAGAAAGTAGGCGTAAATCCATAGCATAGTACCATTTGGGTTGAAGTTTGCCCCTCCCTTGTTATATATAAATAATAACAACCGGGAGCTGTGCTAGCATGTGGAACGAAAACCTGTGGGACAAGTAGCACGTTTTCCTACAGCACTTAAAGCAGTCAGGTTCCTGAATACCTCATTCGTTTGCCGTGTTATCTAAGCGGAAACACCGGAGAAAGCAGCAGCATGTCGGTGGACAGCGTGTTCAGGACCCGCTCTCTCGGTGTGGCCGCCGAAGGTCTTCCTGACCAGTATGCCGACGGCAAGGCAGCCAAAGTCTGGGAGCTGTACATCGGAGACACGCAGAGTAGGACGCAGGAATACAAAAGCTGGGTGGTCGCTTTGCTAAAAGAGCAAGGAGTGAAGAAAGTGCTGGATGTAGCCTGCGGAACAGGGTAATGTCAGGCACACGTTTTACATTGGTCACTAGTGTAGCAGTGAACGTCCCACCAAACTTCATTAAAAATGTGTTCAATTTGTATGCATATCCTTCGAAATTTGCAAAAGTAACACCTGAGTCAAAACTTTTAAACAGTTTCCATAGTTGCTCAACCCAACCTTTAATTCGGCATTAATTCTATACATCAAGTCAACAACATTACAAATAAATGTCACTTGTTGTCATTTGTATCCAGATGCAGCAATAATATTAGCAACCGTGGTACAATAAGTGATATTGAAAAGTTGCAATGTCAAACGATGCGCAGATTTTTTTTTTTAAATGTCGTTGGCCGAATTGTAGGCTGCACCCAGTAATGTAAGTATTAGTATTAGTCATATGGCAGTCATTACAACGTGCTGATAACAATTGGGCTGTTACAAAAACCTTCCATGTTTGTGAATGGGTGATCATTCTAATTTTGTAAAATGGTTATTATGGCCACGTGTACGGTTTTTCTATGTTGTTGTTTTTTTAAAGACTTTTAACGTTCTTGTTCTTGAGAGTGACATAGACACATAATAACACGTAAACCTGTGTAAAGTAGTTTATTTGAGAAAAGATCATTCCTACTGTAAAAGTATTATAAATGCCCTATGTTCTACAATACATCTGTAAGTTTATCTGAATAGACAGATGTCAAAACATTAAAATATAAAACATAAGTACAGCATATATTAGGACTGGGCAACATATCAATATTTTATGATCATGATATTATCAAATTAGATTTTGCATATCGTATTATGGCCTAAGTGTTGTCTTTTCCTTGCTGTAAAGGCCACATTATAGTAAAATTATGCAATTTCACAGTTTTTACGATCTGCCTATGCCTACTTAGTCATGATATCCAGAATGCTGATGTTTATTGATCAAAAATCTCATTTTGTACAAATTGTATGTATACCCCAACCCTACAATATGTCGCAATATTGATATCAAGGTACTTGATCAAAATTACTATTATTAGATATAAACCGAATCGCCCAGCTTCTCTGGAATTTGGACCCGCTGACTCTTTTAACTCTGGACAATAACCGGATTAGGCCGGAGAGTAATGAATGAAAGTGCAGAGTTGCACCAGACACTGTGCCAGCTGTCCGGAGCTGAGACCATGAGCTGACCCATACTGGCTAAAATAACTTTAACAATACAACTAAGACGGATTATATGGTCTAACAAAGTTTAGTTGAGCATATCTGTAAATATGTTCTGCTTTCACATTTACACCAGTTACCCTCATTCAAAGCACATTCTAACCAGGGCTGTGAGATAGCAGATGTAGGGTTCAGTGGCCTTTGACCTGGTTCTATGTTGTTGCAAGGAGTTTTGACTGGTTCTGTGCAGTCTGTTTACCTCTGCTGATAGTGATTCTGCGCCCTGGAACCACAGCAAGGCCATTGGCTGAACACAAACAGGAGGACAACATACTTTAACCTATCTCAACCTCAATTTGTCTGAGAGAAGTTGTTCAAGAGATACAACATTTAATGTCATGTACACCAGGATTTTACACGAGACAGAAATGTTTTATCCTGATACTTCTTAATTAATATTTGACATAAGGCTGCAGGTACCCAGTATAACGGCCCACAGGCTCTGACAATTTGTATAGTAGTTCCACTCAAGCACCACCATGTGAGGCGGCGTAAACCCGCTCACAGTGGAATGAGTTTACAACTGGCCTCACTATTTTTGGCTGTCTAAATGTGCTCTCCAGTTGTTCTGCAGTCATTTTTAGCAACAACTTATACAAGCTCAGCAGAAGCTGCAGATCATGCTTTCAAATTGGAAAATAATAATCATAAATTGCAGATTAAATACCTTGATTTGATCCATTTGGGATTTGTTTTTCCTGTTGGTTTGATTTTTTCTACATTTATATATTTACAGTCTATATATTTAGAGTTATTTTAGGTAGAACCCCTGCAACCAAGTTGTTGTGTGTTGGTGTGTATCTGTTGTATATTGTATATATATCTTGTTACTAAGTTGTTGTTAATGATTGCAGTATTTTAGGTCATTGTGCAAAGAATCTGCTCCTGTGTTGCTTTTTAACTTAGAATACGCATTCATTTGGATTCTTGGAGTTGCATCTTTCCGTAGCTCTTGCATATTGTTCAACATTAACTCACAATTTGTTATTTTTTGGGAAAGATTTGTTATTCCCAAAGAGACTTCAGTGCAAGGAGGGTGCAAACTAAATTCAACAGCCCAAAGCCAGACTGGGCTTGGCATGTGTTCATGTGGTTCTGCCTGAAGCATAAAGAGCTACTGGCTGTCAAATATAATGCATCTCTTCATGCCTGTAAATCATTCATGCGTATTAAGAAATTCATCTATAAACTGCATTGCTTTTTTGAAGAAAAGGAACTAGATTATTTTTTGTCTTGGAGCACAAGGAACCTTACTACTTACAACATTTCACTCCTGACACATGATGAAGTCAATACAGTGTCAACAGCAAAGAGTGTGAGCTATGCTTTTGTTCAGTACAGAACTTGTATATTTACAGAGCAAATGTGTTGTGTTTTGTAGAGTTGACTCCATCATGTTGGTGGAGGAGGGCTTTAATATGACGAGCGTGGATGCCAGCGACAAAATGCTCAAGTACGCACTGAAGTCACGGTGGGAGAGAAGAAAAGAACAAGCTTTTGACCAGTGGGGTACGCCAGTTCTCATTTGAGCATTATTTCTTATTTTATCAGGTGATGTCTTCATGTTTTCTTTATGTTTTACTTTACGGACGTTGTTTTCCCTCAGTGATTGAAGAGGCCAATTGGTTGACGTTATCAGAGGATCTTCCAAAACCAGGCTCTGGCTTTGATGCTGTCATCTGCCTCGGCAACTCATTCGCCCATTTACCAGACTTTAAAGGTACGTTAAAGTTAAAGGAAGAAAGATATTACTTCAACGATCCTTTTTTCCAAAGAACTTTCACATTGATTTAACATTTTCCCTGGATTTGGGATTACAAAAGTAACCAATGATATATGGATTACAGACCATCTCCTACCAAGAAAGGTCTAGCCTTGAGTTGAATACCAATGATCATCCAATGTGTATTGCTCTCAGGGGACCAGAGTGACCAAAGGTTGGCCCTTCAGAACATTGCCAGTATGGTGAGACCTGGTGGGATCCTCATCATTGACCACCGTAACTACGACTACATCCTGGAGACCGGCCAGGCGCCACAAGGCAAAAATATCTACTATAAGGTACTAAACTTAAAAGTACAATCACAATATATATAATGGAGATATGGGAAATGAAACCAAACCAGTAAGCTATCGGAAGCTTTAAAAGGTGGTCCCGACACACTAAACAAAAAGTGTTTACAATATATTATACTGACACATTATCAGTCTAACCAAATGCCCTGAAAACCATAACTTATAAATGGTCCCAAAACATTAATTTCCTCAGTGTAAACATTGGTATTAAAAAAGGCAAGGTATAATAAACACTGATAAATGACAAAGTGAACATAGTGGTACAAATTAAAGGCATTTACAGGCTACATGTAGTGAGGAAAGGTTTATTAGAGGGATGCAAATTAACAGGAAGACGATTCATTTCCTCACCCATCCAGTAGTGGCAGTTCAGTTCTGAATTTGACACCAAGGCCACTAACCCAACACACCTGCAGTCAATCAACCATTTACCATCCTTCATCTGTGTCTATTAATGTTGAGTATTTTCTGTTCCAAACACAACCGCTGTAGTTCTGACCTAAAACTGAAGACTTAAGTGTAAAAATGCTTTTTTTACACTTAAGTCTTCAGTTTGAACCTTTACCTTCTTTAAAATCCAGTGAAATGGGAGCGGCTAAGCACTCTTTGTAGATTCAAATGGAAACATATCTGTTCTGTGAGGCAGGCCCCTTGTTATTGTGTGTTGAAGATCACAGTTGGTATGTGGATTATCGACCCTTCATGTTCATTCATGCGCTTTCTCATTTCCTGTTCTGGTCTGAACTGTCACCTTCTTCTTAGCATGAAACCTCTTCTTCACTGAACTGGTTCTATTCAGTCTGATCACTGAGGGCGTAGGTGTCTGTACTTCTGTCACATTACTCATCAAGCTGAGGATTCTTATGTTGATGGGAAGCCAGATGGGGATCACACAACCTGTGTATCCAAGCTCCAAATGAAAATCATTGTGTGGGGTCCCATGTGTTTCAGAGATGTTGTCTGTGTGACTACATCTTCCTTAGGCCAACAGTGTGTGTTAGCATGGAGGAACTGAAACTGAAGAAAAGTGCAAGGGCATGTGTTACTTTCAGTTTACTGCATATCACGTAAAGACCTGGTTCATTTACGTGTTTAAGTTTAAATAATGCCGTTGGCCTTTGTTTTTGTGTGTGTCTGTGAGGTTGTTCTGATTCGTCAACATCTACTAATGACTGTTGCCAAAACCGTTTTCTCTCAACAATTTATCACCATGCTGTTCTAGTTGTATTTACTTATATTAGAAATAGACTGTCCTTCTTGCAGAGGATTGGAAAGACTCATATTGTTTAGGAATGTTTTATTTACATCCAGCCCGAGCAGCAGCCGAGTTTAAGACCTAAATCTCTACCCAGAGCCTGCCGGATATTGTCAGATTTTCATCGAAAGTGGCCCCAGAGAAACAGAAGGAAATGTGGATGAAACTGTCAGGTTTACGACTTTTTGTTGCCAATGGGGAGACAAACAGATCATGCCAGGAGTACTGAGAGTAAAAATGTATTTGGGATGACGACAAAATTGTGCTTTCATATGTGGTTTAAAAGGACGTGTTGCTAAAATGCAAATGTATTTGCATAAGCAGCACATGTTTGTTTTCATATATCTAGGGCTAAGTTACCAATCGTGCAATTTATTATAATTTATCTTTCAAAATATATAATATGCAATTATAAAGACACAACAGCGGGAACCAACAGAAAGGAGCCTTATTTTATTTATTACCCACAAAATAAGTTCCATATTCCTTAATCCAAACAAAGAATGAAGTAACCAGCTGGAAGGCCTAAGTAGAAACTAAGTCAACAGTCATGTGCTGGAGAAAGATCCACTCCTGATCTTCTGATCCTCTGTAATCCCAGTCTGCTCCTATAGTCTCCATATATAAGAGCCACTGCCTGGTGGTTCAGTCCTACTGGTTCTCGGTGCCTTACACTCAGCAGCGTGTCTCATCATTGTGTCTGTTTGTGTTGCAGAGTGATCTCACTCAGGACATCTCTACCTCTGTGCTGTGGGTCAACAATAAGCCCCATATGATCACTCTGGACTACACCATCCATGTGCCCAAGGCCGCTCTGCAAAATCTACCTGAAGTCAGGTACGTCCACTCACAGAACACTGTATTTACAGAAGCCACGCCCACCGCTAGGGGCGGGACAATACGGGACAAAAAGCCTCTGGTATCTGGGTGAAATGTATTTAATCAAATATTATCATATTTTTTGCCAAATACTTCAATAATGATATTGCAACGATATTTTACATTTTACTTTTGTTGTTTCATAAAATATTTCAACTATAAGAGTTTTGAAAAAAAATGTATTAGTAATGTTGATTTCATGACTTAGTGGGTAAAGACTGATAATAACCAGTGCTTGAATTGGAATGAAAAAGGTGCCAGTACTCTAAATCAGCAACTGTTTCAAGTCAATTTATTTATACAGCCCAAAAACAAGAATTTGGCTCAAAGTCATAGTATATACTATAATGCTGGTGGGTTTGTCTCTTTACTGTATATTTTAGAAAGGCTCTCTGTACTTAAACAAAATGACTCAGGGTGCATCTGAGATTAGAGGGGGTGCAGGGGTAACGTGGGGAGTGGATCTAACACAAGATATATTTTTTGAAATATTGAAGTTAAAAGCATCAATCTGGTGCACTTTGAGAGCAAAATGAAGAGATCTATGGATACATCTCTCAACACCCATATGAAACAGAACTGTAAGCAGATTTTCTATTTCTTTTTGGATATTTTACAAATCACTCCCCTTGTAAACTTTATTCTTGTTTTACTGTCATATAGTATTTAATTTTTAGTGAGTTACTCAGATAAGTACCAGGAGACAGCGTTTGGTACTCTGGTACAATTGTGGTGAAGGCATCTGAGTTAGATGTATTTGAACTGAAATGTCTACAGGCTTAGCAGAAGATGGAATCTTTTTAACATGAATATTCCAGCCAATCTCTGTTTTGAAACCATGAGCTGCAAAATGAGCGCCTTACCCCACTGTACAGGCGAGTTGGGAACTTGTTTAAATATACCTGGGCTGGCTCTATTTTGCCGAGGTCCTCTGGCACTTGCGGGCCGCCGAGGGGTGGCGGTGTTTGAGGCGACGAAGACTGCTACTCCGGGGGCGAGGCGGGCAAAGCAGTGGCGGCACCTCATGACACATCTACTGAGTACCGCCGTACCGGCACCGTGCCGGTACTCAGTAAGAAGTAACAGTACCAGATGGGTAAAAATCAGAAGTCCCGGTACTGCGTACCGGTGAGTAGGCTACCGGCCCAATTCAAGCACTGATAATAACTAAATTATTTTACTATAGTGCAGCATTCAAGAAAGGAAAAATACTTGTGCCATATTAGGATAAGACAATGTCCCAAATATAACACCATATCTACTAGGGGTGTAACGGTTCACAAACATTTCGGTTCGGTACGCACCTCGGTTTTTTGGTCACGGTTCGGTTCGGTACAGCAGAATTTTTTTTTCACAAAACATATATATATATATATATTTTTTATTATTATTAAACTGTGAATAATGTATTCACTCAAATAAATACAAAATATAATAAAATAAACATTAAGGTGCAGCATTTCGATGAACTGAAATAATCTGTATTTGAACTTTACTGTAGGCTACTAGTACTCACAAAACATAAACTATTAGTTTTGGTTTTTTTATTTTTTATTAAACTGTGAATCTTCACTAAAAAAAATACAAAATCAAATAAAATAAACATTAAGGTGCAGCTTTTCGATGAACTGAAATAATCTGTATTTGAACTGTACTGTACTAGTTCCTAAGCAGCTAGCTTGACATTATGACTTGCATGTCATTCTATTTTCATGTTTTTTTAAAGAAAAATTAACTTGGCAGATCTGCTGGCACTAACAATGTCTCCTGCTGTGGAGAAAACCCTCTCGCTAGGGACAAAGGTAGCAGAAACAGCCAGGTAGCGCTTTGCTAACATGGCAACATAAGGATATTTGGCGTTTGTAATAGCTTTGGCTCGGTCTGAACTCTCTGCGAGTGGTGGAGGCTTAAATGCTAGTGGGAGTTGGGTTTGCACTTCAGTCTTTTTTCTTTTGGTACCGGTGATATTCACGTTCGGGTGATGCCTTTTCAAGAGTGTGCAAGTTTGATGTATTGCCAGCCGTGTAACCAATGTTAGTTGAACAATGCCGACAAACAGCTTTGGTTCGGTCCACCTGTCTTTGTCCTTCATCCTTGTACGTAAGTGCGAAACCAAAATGTTCCCAAACCGGAGACTTCAATGATGCTGGAGGATTTTCGAGCTCAACTTTATCTGCGTTCGCCATTAATTTTCGACAGTTCCTAAAATTACTGACTACATTTGAACGCATCCCTCTGACCAGCTCTCATAGTATGCCTCTCATCCAATGAAATGACTTGCTCGCTCTATGACGCGTTGAACCCAATGTGACCAAATTACTCTGAATGCTGCGACGCAGCACCTGAGATTACTTCCAAAAAGTTGTTCACGTTCTCAATTTTTTACGTTTAACGTTATATTCGTTCGGTACACTTCGGTACACTTCGGTACACACATGTACCGAACCGAAGGGCCCGTACCGAATAATTTCGGTACGGGTACGTGTACCGTTACACCCCTAATATCTACTGTCGTATCACAAAATTGACATCATATGAATACATTGCCCAGCCCTAGTATGTGGTTAATTTAAGTTGTGGTATATTTATAGAGGGTAGTGATTGGTCTAATGGATAGTGAGGTGGGCTGAAGATCGGAAGGCTGTGAGTTCAAATCCCGCCAGGAACACCACCACTAGTGTGCCCTTGAGTAAGGCACTTAGCCCTTAGTTACTCCAGGGAGGATGTCCCTGTAATCGGTCATTATAAGTCGCTTTGGATAAAAGCGTCAGCTAAATGAAATGTAATGTAATATTTCATTTTTCAATATCTCAATATAATACATTCTCTGGAGAATCAAGTGAGTGATCTAATGAATGAAATATATAATAAAAACAGAGCTGGGGTAGCAAAAGTGCATTTGCGCCCACAATGCTTACAAAACATTCCATTTTCATTTCTGTCACTTCTTCCAAAAAAAAAGGAGCAGATAAGAAAAACATAACAACCATAAAATCACTGAGAATATCTGCGTCTTTGCATAAAATTTGCACAAAATAAGTGTTGTCCTATATTTTTGGAGATATGAAAGGTAATTGCAGTGGGATTTTTACTTGACCAAATACGGACATGGCAGCATAAAACAGGATAAGAATCACCAAGGATGTTGACGTACTACACATTCATTCAGAGCCACAGAATATACATATGAGTATTTTCACATTTGGTTGAATTGAATAGCCAAGGTCACCAGACATGTTAGACACAATAAAAGTGAAGATAGTTAGCAGGAATTCTAACGTTCTATTGTTTTCCCTCCGCAGTAAATTCCGTCTCTCCTACTACCCTCACTGTCTGGAGAGCTTCAGTGGGTTACTGAAGGAGGCGTTCCACGGCAAAATGGAGCACAGCGTCTACGGAGACTTCAAGACGTACGTCCCTGCCCAGGCCCAGGCCCCCTGCTACTTCATTCACGTCTGCAAGAAGACCGCCTAGAAGCCACACACACACACACACACACACACACACACACACACACACACACACACACACACACACACACACACACACACACACACACACACACACACACACACACACACACACACACACACACACACACACACACACACACACACACACACACACACACACACACACACACACACTCACACAGCTTAGAACATAATAGCTTCCTGTTCTCTTTAAGTCTGAACATGCTCCTCCAGATTTGGGCAACATTATATTTGAATATGTTTTAAAAAAATATTTAATCTTAGATCTTGATACAAATAAAAAAAAGCAGCATATTTGCAACACTGTAGAGTGGTGCAGGAATGAGTCCGTTAATGAGTTAGCATTTTAGCACTTGCTGTTTCCTTAAGGTCAACGGGTATTACAAGCTGAAGAGATGTTTTAAATGTGATCTACGATAGAAATCAGTAAATAGTCCACTGGGGATTTTCTGGAGCTTCTATTTGTCTAACATGAGGCTAAATGAGACTACTAAACGTCATCATGGCGAACATTAGCCGCCTTTAGCTTAGCGGTGGTGACATTAAGTAATCTTTGAAGCCTAACATTAGCTATTTACGTATGTCGGTCCACTTAAAAAACAAATCATTAAGTGGTGTTAGTATCTGGAGATTATCCTGCTGAACAAAATGTGTAGTTATCAGTTACATGCCAGAGATCTTAAATCAAGTGGAAAAGTCCCATGGCTTTTTGTGGAGGGAGCCCTTTGCGATGCTAACTTCCGGGTCGGCCTACGTCATCACTGCACCACTCTGTCATCTTTTTACTTTGTGTCATGAACATACGAAAGCTGGAATGATAATCATATTTTTTTTTTTTAAAAATGATCATGGTCGGGTAATTCATGCATTACCCTGATTGTAAAAAGTGAGCTAAAATATTTGGCTTTACCTGATACAATTGGTTGATTCATATCTCACCTTTTTACTTAATCCACAGTGCGTTCCCAAAATTCTCAAAAAAGAACAGTCTTAAAAGATCAAAACTGGTTTGAAAAATATATTCAAAATGTATCGGACCACTGTCTTGCCCATGTCGTTTTTTTCCCAATGTTCTTTATGTTGCTTTTCTTGTTTCCTCCCTGCTTACCGCCTTTCGGAACTTTCATATCCCACAATAATGTTTTGAAATGGTGCGGTACATCACTGATATTCCTCATGATGGAACACTTCATATTACCAGCATGTTATTTACAAAGTGCTTGGATATTTTCTTAAACAATTGAACTTTACCACAAGAGTCTTAAAACTAAAATTGTGAATACAACGTACGGTATGTAGGCTTTCTTTGCTGGAAATACAAAAGTAACATAGCCCAGCCATTTAAGGCAAATCTGGCCCTGCATGATGGCTTTCCTTTCATTGCAGCCCCCAACCCATTTTACATTTGTTGTTTAATATTTATCTTGCAAACCTTGATGGAGTCCCTAAAAATACATAAAACAGACAGTGAAGATTTGTAATCACCCTAAAAAGGCCTGGTTTATTTTCTGATCAACAATCCTCCACCCTTTAGTTTCCTTCTTCCTCGGGACCTCCATCTCCAGAGCTCCATCACTTCTGACCTCTCTGAAGCTCACGAGAGAACGGCTTCTGATATTGGAATTGAATTTACTACTTTTTTAGTAGAAATTAAGGTTTTGTATACCTGGTCTCTGGCTTCTTATTTGACGGTACCATTAAGTTTAATTTATTTGAGTCTTTATCATTCCTGGTGACTATTCTTTATTAGTCCAGGTTTTAATCTAAAACCACTACTCCTTTGTCATGTAGAAACAAGCGTCTTTGAAATTGTTGTCAACCAAAGTGCTATTTTCTTGGAATTAAATTGCGTTAAAAATGAGAAAAACTTGAATGTCAATCAACTGGAAGAATAATTTATTGTGCTATATAATCCAGGTTCAAATACATTTTCGCTGTGACACCAAATGAAATGCCAGGGGAAACACATCTTATCATCACGTTGCTGTTTGCCTTAAGAAGGAGCGCATGGTGCATTCAAATGCCTCCTGTAAATACAGGGTAGAGCAGTGTGTGACTGAGATCAGTAGGTTCAGAGTGTGGTGAGATGCATGGATGTTTGTGTGGCTTTTAAAGTTTATGTTGTGATAAAACCATTTCACAACAGTCTTATGTTGCCAATTCTTAAAAAAACAAGTGTCAACATTTTATAATGAACAATGGTTATTGGAAATAAAAAGATATATTAAATAAATCTGATTCTCACATTTTATTTTTTGTTTCATGTTGCTGTGATTGATGATACTAATGAGTTGATATGTATGTAAGCTCACGGGGCTTTCAATTCATTTGAATTCGGGATGAAAGCATCACCTTGTGTCATCTTTGTTTTCAGACTCACCATTTTTGTATGGCAACTGTTTAAAAGCTGCATTTTCTTCAAAAATAATGACATGACGTTGTATTCGACAATTGCCACTTTATTCCATTAAAAACAGATATCCATATCAGAAGACTTAATTTTCCTCTGTTGAATTGCTCTAATGTGTAAGAATGTGCAATAAAAAGATCAAATAAAGTAAACATATGTATATAAACCTAAGAAGATAAAGTAAACTGTCGAATAAAATATTAAATGAATTGGAATTTAAATATTTATATAAACATAAGAAGTTAAATCAACATTATAAACAAAACATAATTAAAAAAAATACAAATAAAAAAAACCATAATAATAATTTAAAGGAGCCTTTTAAATAAAACATAAAATAAATACAAGTATTTATAAAAACATAAGAAGGTAAAGAAATACATCAAATTAAATATAAATAAAATAAAAAGCATTTATATAAACATAATAAGTAAAATGTCCAATAAAGCATTTCTAAAATATAATACAATTATTTATAGAAGTTTAAGAAGTAAAGGTAAAAATGTGCACATTGTACTACAATATACAATATGTCCATTACAATATACACAGGCATGTCTTCTTTAAGTGCAGGACACATGTCAGACACAAGAGGGCGACGTTACGTCACATGACTATTGAAACAGGGTCAAACTCCTTTAGTTCACTTCTGCTTTTTGTCTTAGCATAACATATTTTTACCTTCATACCAATTCGGTAATTAATCTTAATATTTAAGTTTTAAATGTCCCAATTTTTGACACTCAATCAAAACTCAATTATATTTACTGTCATTGCTTAACTGTTTGATAACCGAATAAGGTTTACACAAACAATTAATTTGCTTTAGGAGTGCATACAAAAACATAGTAAGAGAAAATAAGATGTAAAATGAAGGCAAATTATAAAAAGCTATTGTCAAACAAAATATAAAACTTTTTATAAAAATATAACATACAAAAAGGAATTACAATAATAATCTGGTGAAAAATATGTGCAGAATATATTTTCATTTAAAAGTGGAATAGCAGCACAGTTATAAAGAGGGAACAATGTGCAGACGTGCACAACATGTGCAAAAGCTTACACTATAAGGAAGGAGTACAAGGAAGGACAAAGATGTCACAAGATGTGCATTAAACATTAAAGTAAAAATACTGTACGTTTATATCTGATAGTGTTAGCTCACATCAAAGACATGATGTCCTGTAGCCTAAGTGACAGAACCTGTGATGTGGTTCTGTCTGGCTTTCTAACATATCTGAGTGTGCTAAAACTGTACTACTCGTCATAACTGTTTCTATTTTAAACTGAATAAGAATATAGATTAGGAACTTAAAACTGTTAGTAAAATGTACCTCTACCTACTTATGTGCATTTAGTTTAAAATCAATTATGCATGTATGTTTATTTTTGTTCATTAATCATTATTGTGTACTGCTATTTATTAGGTATTATTATATATCAAACATATTTTAATACATTTTTTAATTTTGTATTATTATTTGTAACTTATCATTATTGTTATTATAATTTATATATTTATTTGAAAAATGTATGTGATATTTATACTGTATGCAGATTTTATTTTTTTGAAGGGGGTCGTAAAAAAATGTCACACAGTCACACATCTGCATACTTTATATTGCACTGAATGGATAACAAAGCTGTATGTTGTTCATGAAAAAGAAAAGCAGGAATAAAAGACCCAATGCCTTCAAATTGTTATGTTTTCTTGGTAGATTAAATCCTAGCTTTGACCTTGTACCTCTCAGACACTGCTGCAAAATATCATACTTCAGAGAACGATTGAAAGTTCCTCCAATAAAACAGACTGCTGTCTCCGTCAGTGAGGGACATTTGCTGTCTCTCCCTGACCTCTGAACATCCCAGCAGACCTCTGAACATCCCAGCAGACCTCTGAACATCCCAGCAGACCTCTGAACATCCCAGCAGACCTCTGAACATCCCAGCAGACCTCCATCTCGTCTCCGAGGGAACGCCATCAGACTGTGGACGTCGAGGAGCTGATACACAAACCAGATGTGAGGAGCGCTCGCCAGATGTGGCTGCTTTGCTGCTGTTAGGGAGTCAGAGTGGACTGGCTCTACTGGGGAGGATCACTTTCAAGGAACCTCATTGGCCGAATCAAACACAAACAGAGAGAGCTGAGAGAGCCGATAGGCTGGAAAGAGGGAGACGAGTAATTATGATTAATAATGTTTTTACTGAGGAGCCTTTAAAGGAGAGGAGATGTTGGATCGAATAATAATACTTTTTATGATATCCATCCTATTAACACATGAATATGTTGTCAAAACGTCTCCGCAGCCTACGCATCTTTACTATGCTATGAATTTTTCACACATTGTTCAAAATACCATACAATGTTTTTCTCAACCAAATGTTTCGACATACTATACTATTTGATTTTTAAATATCCGACTTGGTATAATATGTTTTTATTTAATTTGTGATATTTTCAACATACTATGACGTTTTTTATGATTTTTTTCTAAATACTATACTGTGACATTTTTTAATATTTTGACATACTTTTTACTTATGACGTTTTTTGTCATATTTTCGACATACTATACTATGACGTTTATAATTATATTTTTGACATACTCTAATGATGTTTTTTTGTAATATTTTCGACGAACTATACTTTGAAGTCTTTTTTTATTTTCGACACACTATATTATGACGTTTTTATATTTTCGACATACGTTTATGATGATATTTTTGACATACGACTATGACGTTTTTTATGATTTTCTCGAAATACTATACTATGACTTTTTTTATGATGGTTTCGACATACTATATGTAACCAGTCTGTCAGGTGTGTGAAAACTGGACCAGTATTCCAGGTTCTTAAAGGATGGGTAATAAATAGGGATGCACGATAATTATCGGTCCGATATTAGGAATGATGACGTCATCCCGATAAACCCGATACCAATATTAATAGCCCCGATAATATACAATATATTTTTTGGGTAAAAAAAAAGAAAAAATACTGCGGTGTGGGTGGATTGGGATGAGGGGCGCTTGTTTTTTCACTCGGCTCCTCCCGTTTTGCCAGTACTGTGGTATTAGTGGTTTAGGAAGAGGGGAGTTCTTCACAAATCCAGCGCTCCCTAACTCATGCCTGGCTGTGACGTAAATGGTGTGCGGCCGTGAAGCCAGGACAGTAAACAAACATGTCGTCGGTGGTATGGGCGTTGGAGCTATGTGCAACTCAAGGCATATGCTCGAACCGGAGCTGCAATCATGTTGCGCACTATCCGTGCTGAGTGTGCTGACTTTTCGTACAATGTCCCACTGTCTGGCTTCCTGCATAAAGTCAAGTGCTCGGCGCAGTTGTGGCGAAATGTCGCTCCTCTGTTTTCATTTAAACAGCTCCTTATATCCGTTAGCGCAGCTAGCTAGCACCAGATGCTAACAACAACAATGCACGTAAGGTCTCTCTCTTGCTTGCTCGGGCCACACATACACACACCCTCCCGGTCCTCCAGATGGCCAGTCGGTGCCTGCCGGTGAGCGTGGAAGTGTGGTCTGCCACAAGCGGGCGGCAGGAGCGGGGCTGTCAGCATCAGCTTGTAGATGGTATTTTAAACTCGATGCGCTCTGAAACTACGGGGCGGCCAAGGAAAAAAAATACACATGCGTTAATCGCGTTAAAATAATTAGTGGCGTAAACATTTTTTTATTATCGGTTATCGATATCGGTATCGGTCTTGAGAAGCAGGAAGTTATCGGTATCGGTTTCAAAAAACCAATATCGTGCATCCCTAGTAATAAATGAAGTCGAACACCAGAGTGAATTAAGTGAATACTGATATTTTATAAAGAAATATATATATTGGCACAGGAATAAACAACATTATTCTAAATAATTCCAATTGTTTTTAAAGCGCTTGACACTTGGGGGCACCCAAAATAAAATAAAATAAAGCCCCAAAAGAAAATAGTTCTTTGTTCAGTTCCTGTAAGGTCCTCTCAAAATCCTACCGCTGGTAGCGGAAAGATGAAGTGTTCAGGTTATCATTGGTAGCTCGCCATCCCCCTCGTCAGGGAGAAAATCCAGAGTCCAGAATCCGGAAAATCCAGAATCTTGGTCTCCAAGGGTATCATAAAAACCCAGCCGAGGAAAATAAAATAACAATCAAAACTCCCGCTTTCCAAGGCAGCTCCAACCTCCAACGACAGCCCCAGAGATTGGTCCACCGCCGTCCCGGTAAAACTCTTAATTTGTGCTGTTTTATGCATATAATGATCACAAGTGTCTCCGTTCTTCCAGCGTGGCGCTGCTCCCTCACACACACTTCTTCAACATGCCCTCATTAACCTGAGTGAGGAGGCAGGACTTGGCGGATTTTAGTCCAACAGCAATCATGATTGCGTTATGAACCAATGAGCTTTGTTCTTAAAAGTTTACCATTAAACTAAAATATACTATAAAATAACTAAATAAATAATTATTAACAAACAAAATACAAGAACCTTGTAACCTTGGTTTATCCAGTTGGTTACACCCTCCCCCCTTAAATATAGGCACACCCCTGTGCATGCTTAAAGGGCTGCTGGGTAACTGGTTCTGTAACCGTATTAGGAATGTCTGTAAACCAATCTGTACTGTTACGATCATTAAGAGAGTTAACAATGGCAGTACTCAATCCTTGAAACAAGGAAGTAACAAAAGAAACTAGTGGATTTCCAAGCTCAGGATAATGGAACCAACATGATGGCTCACGTTGTCTGAGTGATCTCTGACAGGAGTATTTGTTTCTGTCTGTTCCTCTGTCTTTCCTTGACTTGACTCCATCTCCTCATGA